AATAATGAGCTATCATTCTAGTATATTTCTTTGTCATTAAAGAGGAAATTTAATTTATGTCATGGGCCCGGAAAAGAGGTTCTGTTGAAGATAAAATGCTGTCAAACAGCATCACATGCTACATATCTTTTTTGAAAGAAAGTGAATTGTGGCAAACTTTACTGTTGTCTTATTTTAAGAAATTGCCATAGACACCCCAGCCTTAAGCAGCCATCAACACTGAGGTGAGATCCTCTACTAGCAAAGAGATTGTAATTCCCAAAGGCCCAGAGGATCACCAGAATTTTTTAGCAATAAAGTATTTTTTAATTAAGGTTATGTAGGTGGCATATTGTGGTTTTTTTTGACATAATGCTATTATACATCTAACGAATTACAATATAGTGTAAATGTAACTTTCATATGTACTGGGAAACCACAAAGTTTGCTTGACTCCCTTTACTGTGGCATTCACATTATTGCAGTGCTCTGGAATCAGATCTGCATTATCTCCTAACTATATGTGAAGCTGTTGGTATAACTACAGAATCTCAGGGTCTTCCCGTGAAATTGAACCTTTAAGGTTAGTTTGTAATCCAGGAATTTATAATTTAGCAAATACCCCATCATTGTCTTGCCTGAGCAATTTCAGAAAGTCCTGGTTTAATGGAAATAGTGCTGAGTAAATAAATGAGTGAGCAAATGATGATCCCGAGGGTTATCTTTTAACCCTAAAATACTGATATTCAGCATTTCCCAAAGTACATACTGGAAGAGTAGTTACACAAAGTATTTGATGCAAAATGGGTTATCTCATGTATTTAGCAATGCTGAATGAATATTCTCTTTTGGAGATTAAGCGTCCACTAACATATTGAAGTGTATGAAGTTATACATTATAGAAGTCTACTTAACTATTAAACAGATTTGCCAGATTTACTTACCTCCTTACCTCAAGCCATTTTCTCACCAATTCTCTATTAATTCACTAAGGAATGTGCACTTATACAATGAGAAATATGTAGCATACATATATGTGCAGTTCATAGCTCTATACTACTGTAATAGTTTATCTTCATGGTTGACTGTCTTTACAAACTGCTTACATTGCAAATGGTTTGAACTAAACTATAAAAACCCAGCTAAAAGATCTTTGTCTCCCCCTCTTTTCTCCAAGTCACATGACAATTTATTCTTTATCATTTACTGGGATACATTAAGTGCATTAATGTTACAAGGAAATAATTTCAGTCCATTTTTTTTATTTCATCTACCTAATTTAAAAGGTATATGTTTGGTTTTATTTGAGCTCCTGTACTGATCTATAGAATGCCTCAGGCTTTTTATTGTGACCTGGTTATATGATGACTTAGGTGTAGCTTAATTTATGAAAGCCACCAGATGGCACAAATAAATTATTGGCACACTGTCCCTATTGCATGAAATAATTTGGTTACAATAAATGTCATTTTGAGTAATATTTAGGATAACTTCCACTCTTTTGTTTGTTTTTGTTTTGGTACTGGGGATCAAACTCAGGACCTTGCACTTGTGAGGCAGGGGTGGCATTACTAAGCTAAATCCCTAGCCTCTCTTTGATTTGTATTTCGAAACAAGGTCTTGCCAAAAAGTTCAAGCTGGCCTCCCGAGTGCTGGGATTACACATGCCCAGCACAACTTCCACTCTTAAGCAAATGTGAGTACTCCCTTACCAATCATATGCCAGAAGGAAAAACGTTAAATTGGAGAGTTCAGATGTAAGACAATAGAAATGTTTCCACAAGTAGAGCAGTGTTATCACGTTGAGTTTGGATTGCACACACAGAAACACCCTTCAACTTTAGCCTACTTAACAACTGTGATTTTTACTGGTATGGCTAGTTTCGCTCTAGTGGTTTCATGAACTTGTTTACTCTCTCATTTGCCCTGGTTTTACCTTTTACATGTACTCTATCACTGAGCCACACCGTATTTACATATATTAATGAAACATTTGCAGGTTTTGGAGGTTAATCTTCAAATTACCAAATGAGTATCAAGTAAGGATTACCCAGAAATCCTTTAATTATTGTAAATTAAAACAAAGTCAAAGTTGAACATGTAGGAACTACACAAGCAAATAGATGAGGGTGTTCAGAAGGAAAGTTCTAGTGTGGCCAGAGAGTACACATGCACCAGTTTACAGTCAGAAGACAAACATATTACATGGTGTAGGAGGGATTAGTTATTTTTAGGAAAAAGAAATAGACATTTGTGTTTTCCTCCTTAAAACCATTACTGGTCTTCCTGAGTTGTCTGAGTAGCTTTCTACTTCTATTCATTGGACATATTCCATGGCATTCCAGATAGCTTGTTAGGCTGTTGTATTTTGTTTTAGAACCAAAAAGTCAAAGTATTGAGAAGAATAACATTGATTCTCAAAGACTTCATCTCAGGATAGCCATGGAGTGTACGCGTGGTAGAGTGCATAGCATGTACGAGGCCTGTGCTTAGTTCCTAGCACTGGAAGGTGAAATAGATCTTTCTTTTTCAGTTGTACTGCAGATGTGTCTTTGGCCACTCATTAACCCAGACATTAATTTTCAAGAGATGACATCTTCAAGTTTGTCTGTCCTTGCACACTTTAGTAATTGGGAACCAAAATCATGAAGGGCCGTTGGTGTAGTGTCAGAAGAAAAACAGATGATATGATAAGGCCTCCCCAACTTTTCCTCTAGAGTCAGTAGGGTAGATGTAGGCGATTGCCATGGTTCTTCCATTTCTAAAATTCTACAATTCTTTCTGTACTTTCCTTTCCTTGCCACCTGCACACCTGCATATCTACAATAATCGGCCTCAATTTTTCTACTGGTAAGATGAACGGTGGCGAAGAGGTGAGGTGATCTAATGTATCAACTTACTATAGAATTGTTAACTCTTTATTTTATCTTAAGTATAAAAACAACTATTTAGATTAATAAAATTCTCTTTATTTAAATGGGAAGATGAATTTAAAGTAAAAGCTAGGAACTCACTTGCTAATATGTTAGTGAAAATGTCCTAGAATTGAAAATTTGGAATTTTTCTTTGTCAAAACCAAAATAAAGAAAAGCATCCTCTGAACCTACATTGAAAATGATCATGTATCATTTAAAACTTTAGTTGTGGTTGTCAGATTTCTACCTTATTTCCACCTTGATAAGAAACTATAGGGTATATTCTATCTAGGATGTGTATTTATTTATTTACAGTGCTGAAATTGAACCTCGGGCCTCCTGTGTGCTAGGCAAGTGCTCTACCGGTAAGCTACATTCCCACCGTGGGATGCATATTTTAAAATGTTAGATTTAATTATATTTAAGACATATACATGGGCCATGTAAAATATTATATGGATTTTTGCCTAAAATAATAATAATGTGATATTTTAAAATCTGGTATTTATTCTGAATGAGATTCACAGGTGCTTTTGTGTAGTTTGTTGCCTATGCCCTGATTGGGAAACAGTTTAACTTCAGTTAGAGGTTAGTGAAGATAGTGATGTAATCTTTTGCTATTGTTTGCAAACTCCCTGATCTAAATTTACTTTTGTTTTCTCAGACACATTCAGGGAAGCCACATGTAATCCTAGGTCTCAAGAGATTTAATCTTTGAGTAAAGTGAAGCTTGGGGTCTTTTCTATATTTAGCCCACAATGCTTTTCAAGCCTTTGAAATAAGCAAGTGATTGATTGTTTAATGGTTGTGAATCTCTTACTAGGAACTCAGTTTATTGCTACTAATTTTATTTCAGATTACTGAAGAAACAAATAATTACAAAAGGTAGTTTAGTCATTTTATTTGAAGCCAAATCAACATATTTGATATTAATAATGAGCTGTCATTCTAGTATATTTCTTTGTCATTAAAGAGGAAATTTAATTTGTGTCATGGGCCCTGAATCATCTTACGGAAATGCATAGTCAAATTTGTGTAATGATCTTTTAAATTTATTTTTAAAATTTATTTTGGGGATCTGATAATTGAACTTGGGCTGGGATTGAACTCGGGGCATATTGAGCTACCTTCCTAAGTGTGTGTGTGTGTGTGTGTGTGTGTTGTACTGATGATTTAACTCAGTCCTTTTCACTGAAAAAGGCCATATACCGAGCCTTTTTCAAAGTATTTTGAGACACGTTTTGAGTAAGTCACTCAGCTTGGATCCTCCTGCCTCAGCCTCCACACATGCTGTAATTACAAGCGTGTGCCACCACTGACTTCGCTTTTATTTTTTGAGACAAGGTTTCTCTCAATTACCCAGGTGGTCTCAAACTTGTGACTCTCCTACCCTCAGCATCCCCAGTAGCTGGGATTGTAGGAGTACGCCTTTGTGTCTGGCTTTACCACATTTAAAAAATATGGTAAAATACATGTAACACACAGCTTATCATTTTAACTACTTAAGTGAATAATTAAGTGACATTATTAAATCCACAGTGTTGTACAGCCATTGCTCTCTACTTCCTGAATTTCTCTCCACCCACCCTATACAGCAGCTCTTGTGCTCATTAAGCAGTAGCACCACACATCACTCTACACAGCTCCTGTTCACCACTGATCTACTTTCCATCTTATAAGTCTGCCTTTACTCAGTATTTAAAAAATATGGAATCATACAATATTGTTTTGCTTTGTGTCTGGTGTGTTTTCATCCATTTTTTAGCATGTATTAGAATTCCATTATTTTAATAGCTGAATACTATTCCAGTCTATGAAAACAGGAACTTGGGCCCTTATATGACAAGGTATACAGCAGTGTTCTTCAAAATAGCCAAAAGGTAGAGACAACCCAAGATGAATAAATTGCTGAGTGATAATGGTAATTTTAAAGGAATGTGATCTTTTTTTTAAATACTAGTTCTCCTTTATTTCTCTTTCATTAATGTTTTTTAAGCTTTTCAGTTTTTTGCTTATTTCCTTGGTTGTTTTTGTTGCTGAATTTTTAAAAATTGTTTGTTTTGAGCATTCATTTTTTTCTTTCTTTTTTTTTCAATTGTTTTTCAGACCCGAGTCAGAACTCCATCACAGGGGAACACAGCCAGCTGTTAGGTATCGTATCACTGTGGGAATTGACTCTAAAAAGCCACCTTTTACCTGCTTGTATTAACATATGTTACTTACTCCCCTTGTAATTCTAATTTTGCCCCCACTTTGCTGCTTTTCACCTATCAGTTATTTTCCTGCTGTTTCTTTCTTTCTTTTTTTTTTTTTTTTTTTTTGCACCGGGATCAAACTCAGGACCTTGCACATGCAAGGCAGGCATGGTCTAGTCACTGAGCTAAATCCCCAGCCCTTTCCTGTTGTTTCTGTTTCCAATTTGGTAAGCATTAAGAAACTACTACTGTAATTGATAACTAACACTCTATTTAGTTACTGCACTAAAAATTAATTTTGCATGGTCTATGGTTAGAAAATAATCTTAGAACTTTTTTCCAAGAAAATTTTGTAAAGAAAACATAATATTTGTAATACTTTGGACTTTATCCCTACTCTTCTTTTTTCAGTACTTGGCCTTTTGTTCGCCTTCATTTTAATTAGTAAAGGTATTTCATAAATAACATGGCTTTAAGCAATCCATAGAAATTGGTGTTCCAGTTTCCTATATGTGAATTAAGCTGTGAAAGTGAATTGATTGCCTCTAGGTGTTGCTCATTTAAATTGCAATAAACTTATAATTTGACAAGAATTTCACAAACTCAAAACAAACTTATAAAATATAAAAATGAGGTATACTCTGGTAAGGAATTCTGGCAATAAAGAAGTTACATATATAAAAAAAGCAAAAGTCTTTGGAAATATCTCTTCTTCGTACCTTGCTTCCGTTCTGCCAAATGACTTGCTATTTGTTGGGAATTCTATAAATTTTTATTGTTTTTCCTTTTTATATTAATGGAGTTATAATATACAGAATGTTCTACTGTAGAGACTCGCTCCTCCCCCCATTCTGGGATTTAAATCCATCAACTGTCTTTTTTTTTTTTTTCAGCTTTAATTGAGTTTATTGGTACATTTTAGGGATACAGTACAGTTACATTCATTGTTGGGATCTTGTACCTCTACATGACAAGTCTTGATTCTCATTTTTTCCCCTTACCCCTGCCCTCCCTTCACCCCCTCCTCCCCTCCCCATCTACAAACACTTTATTTTCATCTTTTCATTATCTCACGTTTTTTTCTTTTCCCTTATTACCCTTCCCCTACCCATCCCACCTTCCCTACACCTTTAGCTCCTTTCTTCTCATTTCTAAATCAACTGTCTTTTTTTACTTAACATTTTATCTTGGGACATCTTCTCTATGCATAAAGATCACCTCATTCATTTGTTTGTGATTAAATAGTATTCAGTTATGCTCCTTTGCTATAATTTTACTCAGCCAGTTCCCTCTCCGTGAGCATTTAGGTTATTTATAGGTATGTTATGTTAGTCTTACAAATTAGTTTGCATTTATCATCATGTATTTGGTTTTTGGTTTTTTGGTGGTTTTTCTTTTGGTACTGGGGATCGAACTTGTGACCTTGTGCTTGCGAGGCAGGTGGTGGCACCACTGAGCTAAATCCCTGGCCTTAATCATCGTGTATTTGTATTCTTATTGCCAGTATGTTTTTAGAATAAATTCCTAACAATGGAATTCCTTACTCAAAAGGTATTTACATTTTCAAAAAGATAAATCATCATAAGTTCCTGTCAATACTAATAAGGGTAATGGAGGAACTCTTACTTCTATTATCAAAAGTTGACATATCAATTTAAAATTTTTGTTTTTACTAATAGGTGAGAAAGGCATTTCTAGTTTTTATTTATATGTTTTTAATTAATATATTAATAATCATTCTGTATATTCATGTGTCTTGTTTTTGTTTGGGGGGAATATCTTTGCTTTTAGAGTACTGGAAATTAAACCCTAGACTTTCATACTTTGCTGTCTTCCTAGTCTTTTTCTTTTAGGCAAGGTCTTGCTAAATCAGTAAGTTGCCCATACTAGGCTCAAACTTGAGATCCTCCAATCTCAGCTTCCCTAAATGCTGGGATTATAGATGTGCCACTATACTTGGGTGTGTGTCTTTTGATTATATATAGCTGAACTTTTTGCTATTGAATATGTACATAGAGGTTGCAGAGAATATATTCTCAGAAGTCCAGAGTAGGGAAGGTGCTTCATATGGCTTGTTTGCCTATTGAAGCTTCAGAGTATTTATTCGTTGAAAAGAGTATTCCTTGTTCTTTCCACGTTAAAACGTTAGAAGAGTCCGTGAATTAATGAGATCTTAACACTCATTCCTTTGAGTATGTGTGTGTCTGTCAGAACTGTATCTAGCACTTTAGGCACCCAGTAAATATTTGTTAGGTAAATGATATAAACATGGAAATCTAATCACCACGATCCTGGCCTTGTGGCATTGAGGCTGTCATTATTCTTTTTTTTTTCTTTGTTTTCTCTTTGGTGCTAGGAATCAAACCCAGGACCTGGCACAAGTATTCTATCACTATGCTAAAATTCCAGTGCTGCTGGGTGTGGTGGTTCATGCCTATAAACCCAGCACTCAGGAGACTGAGGCAGGAGAATCGCCTTGCATTCAAGACCAGGGTTGGCAACACAGTGAGTTCAAGGCCAGTCTGAATTACATAGCCAGACTCCACAGACAAAATCATCATCATCATCATCATCATCATCATCATCATCCTCCTCCCAGCCTATTATATTGTTTTATTGAATAGTTCCTTTATACTACTCAAATTTAGTCTTCTATATAAAAATTTCATATTTAAATCAGGAATGGCTAAGATTTCATAGAAAGATTTTTCCAAACTATGAAAATCATACTCCCCACCCCCAAATTATTCTATCCATGAAACATGCATGATTGGCAGAGAAATTTGAGAGGAGTTCATTATCTGACTAGGAACATGGGCAGTGGCAGTCGGGGAAGGCTTTAGGTAGTGAGGTGGTCATTAGGAGTTGATACAGTTCAGTATTGTTAAAATGGATTGAAATAGTGAAACAGTTATTTTTTGCCATATTTATAAACATCCTATTGTTTCTCAGAAAGGACATTAGTAGCTTGAATTAAAATCTTTCCAGCTCCTGGGGCTGAACGTTGTAGGTCAGTATGGAGCACTTACGTAGCACAAACAAAGCCTTGTGTTCAATCTCATCACTGAGGGGAAGAAGTCTCCCCAGCTCTCTTTTTAAAAACTTCCTTTAGAGTTAAGTTGGCCTGGTAGGTGAAAAACTGGTTCAATTACTTTGCCTGCTGAATTGAATTTATAATAGCCTATTTCAGGCTTTTCTTGCTGAATTGGATTTATAATAACATCTTCCAGACCTGCTAAATACATTTTCTGTCAACAGGGTGCAGTTATTTTAATGTATTTGTTGTTCCCACTGACTCATTGGGTCTCTTGAGAAACTCAGGGTTAGGCCAAAGAGATGTAAGGGAGACAGAAACTGTTATTATGGTAATGAATCCAGTTCTATTCTTAGGATTTATGAACTTTTCCCTGTATGTATGTGTATAATTTTCAATTTAAAAATTTTTTGAAAGGGCTGGGGATTTAGTTTAGTGGCGCTGCGCCTGCCTGGCAAGTGCAAGGTCCTGAGTTTGATTTCCAGTACCGCCCCCCCCAAAAAAAATTTTTTTTAGAAAGCAAGCAAACAAACTGGCAACAAGTCTTGATATTTCTATAAGACATTTTACCAAACATTCAAGGAAAAAGAATTCCAGTGTTCTTCAGGCTTTCTCAAGCCATAGAAAACCAATTAAACATTATCTAAATCAGTTTGAGGAATTCATAACCTTGCCAAAATTTAACAATGGCAAATAGGAAGTGTAGTCTAGGCTGGGCCTGGTAGCACACACCTGTAATCCCAGTACTTGGGAGGCTGAGGCAGGAGGATCACTGTGAGTTTGAGACCAGCCTGGGCTACATAGTGAGTTCCAGGTCAGTCTCAACTACATAGTGAGACCCTGTCTCGAAAGAAAAAAAAAAGAAACTATAGTCCAGTCTTACTTTGAGGCTAAAGAAATAATTTGAGATTTATCTTGGGCCTCAAGATATAGCTTAAGATAACTGACAAAAGCCAGCAGCATTATAGAAATAATGTCAGTACATGCATAAAGTTTTTTGTTTGTTTGTTTTTTGTTTTTTTGGTTATTTTGAGACAGGGTCTCACTATGTAGTTGAGACTTACCTGGAACTTACTATGTAGCCCAGGCTGGTCTCGAACTCACAGCGGTCCTCCTGCCTCAACCTCCCAAGTGCCTGGATTTCAGGTGTGCGCCACCACGCCTGGCCATAAAGTTTTTATAAATAGACATTTGGTATACAGTCTTTTCTGTTGTACAAAAAAAAAAAAAAAATGACAGGAGTGTAGCTCCATTAAGAGTGTACGCTTACTTTGTTGTACAAGGCCCAGAGTTCAATCCCCAGCATTCCCCCACCACCACAAGAAAGAAGAAACAAAATATAAATATACCATGCAAACAGAAATACGAAATCTTGAAAAGAACCAGTTGTTCTGCCAGTTTGAATTATGCAACAAAAACTAGAAGTTTCCTGTAATATCAGCATTATTTGTGTAGTAAAATGAGAAAAAAGAAAAATAATAGTGATCTGATGGGGCTTTTTAATTCAAAGCATTTCTAAAACCAGTCTCAGCAGGTATCCTCCAAAGGACTCGGTATAATACTAAAAGATTTCTGTGATGTAGATTTGATTCTTAGTTCATGGAGAATAATATTTGTTATTCAGAAACCCTAAAAGTTCTTTTTCATGTGGTATTTCCTGAGGTCAGAGTAGTGACCCAGACTACCAAAGGCTATATTCTGAAGCAGCATATTTCCCAACCAAGATATTCAAGCCAAGAATTGATCCATGCCTTTGAATAGAACCACTTCTAATTTCATGCTTTTCAATATGGCCACACCTGAAGAGAGCTTGTTTGTTCCTTATGTGGAAAGCCTTGACTTTTCATCACTGTCCACAAGTCATGGTTGACCAGGAATTTATGGGACCCTCCCATTCTGTGTCACCGCCACAGGTAGACATT